CCGTAATGCAGAGGATGTGTCCCAGGTGCAGACTGAGTTATAAGTGGTTGAAAGGCCTTCCAGTCGATGGGAAGCAATATTATAGGGATGTGTAGAGGCGTCCCAAACCAACAATGCTTATAATAAAAGGCCGTATCCGGCTAATGTTAGGCGACAGCCATTAGTGGTTGAGCCTGCAGTTGATAGAATGCATGCTAAAGGCAAGAGGCCCTTATATGAGTCCAGGACACCTAACTATTACAGAATGGAGAGTAGTCATTCTGAAAGAAGACTGGAGAAGAGTTCAGGTTTTAGGATCAAAGCCAGAGATTGGCCTCCTGGATCAGCCTCACGGAGGATAGAAAATGATCACCTTCATTGAAGGCCTGAATCAGGCTCAAAGCTTGGGGTTAGGGCCAAGCAATTGCCTTCACAGCCAGCTTCGAAGGTGGCATCGAAGGAAGAAAAGGGCAGCGCAACATCTGGGTCAGTAAGTTCGTGGGTACCTGGAGTTCTAAATTGGTTTGTGATGCAGAACAAACCTAGGGAAGTGCCTACCCAAAGGAATGTTGGAAATCAAGGTAGGATGGTTAAGCCTCCTTTGGTGGTCCCTAACAATTGGGTATTGCTGAAACACCCAAGAACGAAGGAACCAGATATGGTCCCCGTAATTTCCAGATCACAAAGGAAGAAAATTCAGCGTAGGTACACCTAGTACCAGCAAGACCTGGAAGAAAGTGGAGAGAGTTCTTCATTGATCCAGGCTGAAGGAAAGAAGAATCCAAAGTCAGACCATACTCCGAAGCCAACTCTACAAAGCAAGGTGGGTTGCAGCAGAGAACAGTTGGCTAAGGTTCATTCTGAACTAAGAGTCAGAGAGAAGGCTAGCTTAGCAGGATTGGAGAAAGCTCTGATGGAGAGTGGTAGCGAGACAAAAGAAGAAATTGGCATGAGCCAAAAGAAAGAAATGGTGGAAGAAGAAATGTTCGAAGCCTTCATGGCCGAGCAAACATTTTTGGTTGAAAAACCAGTCAAGGAAAACCATTCGAAGGAACTTGTTAGCAATAAAGTGCCAGAATGCAGCATGCAGGATGCTTCTGAGGTAACTGACTGTAGACACTCCATTTTTGACCGACCTTGAGACTCAGACGTCACCAGTTGAGCACTCGGTGATATTGCATGTTGTGCTTGCTCAGAAGTTTCAGAGTCGCGGCCGCGAGCCTTGCCTCCAGACTCCCGGACTCTTTTGTACTTTGCCTCGGTTTGCGAACCAGGCTCGATTTTCTCTGTTTTCTCTTACCAAAGGGAGGGAGAGGTCCCGTAGACCATCCCTCAGTGGCCGTGGGCTACATTTTGTGGCTGTAGGCCATTTTGTCCATTTCGGAGCCCGATTTCCGATTTTTCAGGACCGTTGGCCGTGTGCCTCGGTTCGGGACCGCTTAACCATCTCCGTTTGCTCCGGTTTTTGGCATACATCTTATTTACTCCCTTTTGAGGGACACTGAGGTCTGAGAGACCCACTTCGTGGTCGAATGCCACTTTTGGTGCTTAACAGGCAGTTTTCGGGACCCCGAACTGCGCGTTCTGGCCCCCGAACA